GTGAACTGCGCACTAGTCATCATCTCATTTCGCCCTCCCGAAAAGAATTCGTCCACAAGCCGAAAATAATACGTAGCGAATGAGTTAAAACGAAAATGGTCCGACTGGCAAACATGGAGAAATGTGGTAAGTGTAAATCCTTGCGTCCGTGATACTGTTACGTAAGAAAATCAAACAAAGTGAACACTTGTTTTTTCTCCTGGTGTATATTGGGCCCAGAAACAATGAGAACAACTCAAAGGGAACACACAACAGTACAACTACAGGAGAATTTGATTAACAAAATAAAGCACGTGTTGTCTCTCCTACCCTCACGGTGAGATCTGCCGTGAGAAGCCTCGTCTGACCCAAACTACAAAATAGGAAAATATTAACATTGTCAAGTTTTCCTGCTGTTTACACTGGCTCTGAACGGGAGTGTTTCCAGTGGTCTGTTTGAATATAAGGTAAGGTAAGGTAAGGTAAGGTAAGGTAAGGTAAGGTAAGATAAATATGGGCGGTGAACCAGAAATACTGGAAGACGCCATGTCATAGAAATAATTGATATTCTTGTAACTAAAAGTAACAGAGAAATGCGAAGTTGACTGTTCCCAAATATAGGGCCTTTCCATGGAGAAATAGAAGCGCAGTGGCCCACGTAGCGCAGGGATGCTGACTCGCTGAACAGATTCCTCAAAGTGATGAAGAACGTTTTGTTTTATTTCTGTTGGAGGAAGGTTTGTAGGAAAAAATTGTTGTTGTTTTTTAGCAAGTAAGTGTTTTACGGCGCTCACAACTGCATAGTAAGGTCATATGAGCGCGCAGGACACATTTAAGCATTTTTAGTTTGGTGGGAATTAATTTTGAATTTTGCAGGGGTTGCGGCCGAATCCTACTCTTATCAATTTTAGAACCACCAAGGGATCTTTAATGTGTACAACTTGCACATGGGACTTCCGAGATTTTTTGGCAAGGCTAGGTGTTAGATCTGACCTACCCTTAGATCAGGAACGTGGGGGAAAGACAGCAGTGAGGAGGGGCCAGGGAGCAGCAGTAGAAAGTCAGGAGCCCAGAGAAAGGGAAGAAAGTGATGGTCAAAGCTGATCACGGAACATGACTAGACAGCAGGAAAGGAGGTGAAAGGAGAAACATTTTTTTTGTGAAAAAAAAAAAGTAAGTCCCTGTCAGGTTTCAAACCCGAGACCTTTGGATGAGAGGCAAATACCATACCTCCTGACCACAATGGCCCCTGGGTTGCCTCGAACAAAAAAGAGATTTCTCAAAAGTGGTTTTATCATGGCCGGTCATCGTCTGTGTGTTACATGTGTCTGTGTTACATGTGTCTGTGTTACATGTGTCTGTGTGTTACATGTGTCTGTGTGTTACATGTGTCTGTGTGTTACATGTGTCTGTGTGTTACACGTGTCTGTGTTACATGTGTCTGTGTGTTACATGTGTCTGTGTTACATGTGTCTGTGTTACATGTGTCTGTGTGTTACATGTGTCTGTGTGTTACATGTG